AGGGACCTTGGAGGTCTTCTAGTCCAATCCTCTGCTTAGGCAGAAAACCCTATACCATTTCAGAAAAATAGTTATCCAATCGCTTCTTTAAATCATTTACAACTTCTGGAGGCAAGTTGTTCCACTGATTAATTGTTCTAACTGTCAGGAAATTTCTCCTTATTCTAAGTTGCTTCTCTCCTTGATTAGTTTCCACATTGCTTCTAGTCCTTCTTTTCATTAAACTAGACATACCCAGTTCCTGCAACTGCTCTTCATATGTTTTAGCCTCCAGTCCCCTAATCATCTTTCTTGGTCTTCTCTGCACTCTTTCTAGAGTCTAGAGTAGATTTTAAAATCCCCTAAAGCAATCTTTCTCAACCTTGGCCACGTTATAAGATACGTGGACTTCAATTGTCAGCATGGGGGACGAGATCCTAAAATTCTCAAGAGTGAGGAAAAACTGTTTTGGGGAATCTAGACATTTCGAGAAAAATCTTGTAGGCCTTGGGGCTTTGGGGCATATAAAAAGGAGCAGAACTTCAGTGATATGGCCAGCTGCCATCTTGATTCGGTTGATTTCCCCAATGGGAAGGTCATTTAGATTTTATTAATACCATTGAAGGGCTTAAACAATTTTCTTTCTTTCTTTCTTTTTTCTTTCTTTCTTTCCTTCCTTTCCTTCCTTCCTTCTCTCTCTTTCTTTTTCTTTCATTCCTTGTTTCCCTCCCTCTTTCCCTCCCTCTTTCCTTCCTTCCTTCCCTTCTTCCTTCCCTCCATCCCTCCTCCCTCCCCCTTTGTTTCTTTCTTTCCTTCCTTCTCTCTTTCTCTAGTTATTTTTTTCCTTCCTTCCCTTCTCTCCTACCCTCCCTCTCTCCCACCTTCCTTCCTTTCTCCCTCCCTCCCTCTTTCGCGCCCTCCCTTCCTTTTCTACCTGTCGCTTCCTCCCCCCTCCCTCCCTTATCCATCCATCCATCCTTACTTCCATCCATCTGTCTGCCTGTCCATCCATTCCATACTGGATTCCCTCTGAAGGGCAGAGAAAAAAATTCTGTTTGTTCCTTGTGGTGATATATGCAAAACTGGGTGATTTGGAAAGTCAGGGAAAGCTAACAGCTTGCACAGACTAGAGGAGAATTAAAAAAAAACTTCTTAAAATCAATGTCTCTTAAAAGTCCAATCTTCCAGAGATTCAGTGGACACCTTTAGCAGGGAACCGGTGAAAGTGTGTATTGAGAATGCTTCTCACCGAGGGGGGGGGGGAGGAGGAGGCAAGCTGCATCCATTAGCCACCCTTCCCCTAAGAAATGGTTGAATTGCAA